ATCTTAAGTCCTGAACATACACCCATGAATTTCCTTCCCAAGGTTAGGCCTGTTAAGGAAACAGCAAACCACATGAGACAGTCAGAGATAAATTCTCTTGATCTCCCTAAAGGGTTTGCATTGTTCTTCTGACTGAGCAATGAAGCCAGATACAGTGGAACCCCATTAATACAGTCACCAACAGGCCATGAAAATTTGGTCATATTTACGGGGTGGCTGGATTAACGGGGTAGGGTCAAACTTCATCACTGGTCTAACTTGAGTGAAGTTTTAACAGATATATCACAATTATTGCTCTTCTACACAACTGTTCATTAATAAGCATTTGGAATGCTGATATATTTTTAAAACAATTTAAACTTGAATCAGTGTGTATAAAATATGAACAATGGAAAGATGAACATAGCTGGTTTGAGTGGCCGTATAACTGGGGTAAAACAAACATAAAGGATTATACAGGTTGGGATTTCAAAATGTGGCCATTGGCCGTATTAACAGGGTGGCTGCATTAACAGGGTTTTCTTATAACAAAATGCATTGGCGCTTTGCCGGGATAAAATAAAGTGGCCTTGATAATGAGGTGACTGTATTAACAAGGTGACTGTAAGGCAGGGTTCCATTGTAGTAGCAAGTTGAGATTGGCACAGTAGATGTCAAGGATGTTGAGTGTCCACTAATGCCTGTCATCCACCAGGTAGGTTTTTGTGAACTTGGGTAAGACTGAATTTTGGGGAATTAAAACAAGAAGAAATAATTTATTCATCCCTTGACTTCTATGTTATTTCTCCTAAACCTTGGAGCTATGCTAGACTTTTGACATTTCAAAAATAGCTTATCGTTGTGATTAAGCCAAAATGAATCATGTTACCATATCATCTCTCTCCTCTGCTTCTACTTCCTTCAACCCAGCATAGAACTGCAAGTGTTCCTTCACAGTCATGAAATCAAACAACACGTTCTGCTGCTGGCAAACACCTTGCAAAAACAAGAAACAACAGAAAAAAAAAATTAAACATCAGTTTAAGCTTAAAAGTTTTAATTAAAAATTTACCATATGCCGAATAAAAATAACATCAGAACAATCCTTTCATTGAAAATTCAAACTTTATTGCTTCACAAGTGTTTTCAACAATAAGTACATGTCTTGATTAAAAGAAGAATTGTTGATTTCCTACTAAGGGGTCACATCTACAACTAAGCTTAATATTGTGTATAAAACATGAACATGGCATGATCTCTAGTATTTTATAAGC